CATCTGTCTGTGTCTGCGTAACTTCACAGTCCGGTTTTAGGTCAGCCTGAAGCTTTTTGCCAATCAGCTGCGTTGATAACGTCTGAATGTCGACATTTTGATAATTTTTTTGAGGTTGAATTGCCTCGCAACTTGAGTTTACATGCTCGACACGCAAAGTCTGACACGTAGCGGAAGAGGTGATGATTCTAGGTGGAGCCAATTGTACTGCTTCCTTTTCATAAATCACTATCGGTTCAGGTTCAAGCAAAAGACTGCATGTCGCGTCTACTTCTTTTGTGGTTTTGACACTTTGTTGGCCAATTGATTTTGTTTCAATTGAATGCTCAACTTTACTTTCTATATTTCTTAGAGTGAGGTCACTTTGAGTTTGCATCTCAACCGATGTTTGCAATTGCGACACCTGAATTGATGTATTTATAGTTGTTATATTTTTTAGTGAAGCCTTAAATTCAGCATATGTATCCTTTATTTCCTGTCTTTTCTCAGTTTGTGTTTCCATTACTTCGCTAAATGGGACTAATTTCACCTGCAACTTCTTTCCTAACATTTCTATCTCCGTCGTCTGTGTAGATGCTATTTTTCTTTCTATTTGTTTTTCAGTTTCAGTCTGTGAAGTAGTGCTGACAGATTTTGGGGTTACTTCAACCTGCAGCCCTTTTGCTGACTTCTCTACATGGAGCAAGACACTTTGGCTAAATGCATCTCCAAGTACTACCACTTCTGATTGGCAACTTGCTTCTATGAGCTCTACTGGTGCTAGTTTTTGTTGAATGGCTTCTTTCTTGACGGTGACGACAGGCTCCAGCATTGAACAGGCAGCGTCGACCTCTTTGACAAACCTTGAGGCCTGTATGGCTGTGTGTACAACTTCGGGAAAAATGTCACCTTGAACATCTACGTGACGAGTTTCTAATTCGTATTGAGCCTGGTGATCAGTTGACGATTTAATCCTGCTAGCCTGAATCAGTTTATTTATAGTTTCTACCTTTTGAAGCTTTGATTCAAATTGAGTTCCGACACTGCTACAGATCATAGTCGTTTGTGTTTGAGAGTCCTGGCACAAAGGTAGAATATTAACTTGCAATTTCTTGCCCAGCGTTATAATTTCGATAGTTTGCACTGTTGCGATTGATGTCGATTTCTTCACCTGTAGATCAGCCTGAGCAGAAACGTTTGCACTGGCAGGGAAAAGATTAACTTGCAATTTCTTTCCAATTGATTGGGTTGGAACAGTCTGAATTTCTGAAGCCTTGGTGATTATCCGAGGTATTTCTTGTTGACAGAAAGAATCTATGAAAATTTTTTCAAGGGTTTGACACGTTTCAGTACAGGTTTCAACTGAAGGTGGGGCTGGTTCAGGAACGAGCAAGTAACTACATTCTGCAACGACCCCATTTGTAGGAGCAACTGATTGCAACGCAGCCACCTTCATTTCAACGGGATAGTCTGTTTGGGACCCCGAATGCTTTGCAATAATACCACATTGGGTCTGTGATTCGAGAAGAGTTGGCTTTAATTCCGCCTGTAGGCCTATACTAGATGTTTTTAGTTTTGGGGGCAGGAGATCAAGTTGGATATGGGCATCAGTCACCTTATGTTCTATGCCTGCCTGTGTTTGTGCAATCTCGCAAGGGACCTGAAAGTCGACCTGTAATTTCTTCTCACAAAGTGGCACTGAGGTAGTCTGAATTTCTGAGCTTTGAGAAGAAATTTGAGCTTTGATTGCTTCACATGCTGAGTCAACGTTAATGACACGCCTTGTCTGGCAGCTAGCGGGTGCGGTTTCTATGGCAGGTGGAGCTTGAACTATCGTTTTCTCAACCTCCAAAACGGGTTCGGTCTCAAGGATGAGACTGCACGTGGCATCCACTTCCTTCGTGGCCTTGAATGACTGCAAGGCAACTGACTTAGTTTCGACGGCATACTCAGCATGAGACCCAAAATGCGTCAGCTGCTCCCCCACTTGGGTCTGAACTTCAAGCGTGTGTGGCTTTAAGTCTGTCTGGATCGCCAAACTGGTTGTATCTGCCTTTTTCGGAGTGGTATCAAGCTGAGACTTTGCATCTACCAACTTCGGCATTGCATCTGTCTGTGTCTGCGTAACTTCACATTCCGGTTTTAGGTCAACCTGAAGCTTTTTGCCAATGAGCTGCGTTGATAGCGTCTGGATGTCGACATTCTGAGAGCTGATTTGAGGCTTGATACTTTCGCAAACCGAATCAACATGAGTAGGGTACATTGTCTGAGAAGTTTTAGTTGACATTTCTGTTGGGGGAAAGGTTGAGCATATCAACTCATCTTTGATGCTAATCAACGTTTCAGCCTTTAACATGATATCGCATTCAACATCCACATCCTTCGTATTCTTAATTGGCTGCAAGGCAACCGACCTTGTTTCTACACCATATTCAGCCTGAGACCAAGAATGCTTTAGTTCCTTCTCCACTTGGGTATAAACTTCAAGCGTTGGTAGCTTTGTGTCCGTCTGGATCGCCAAACTGGTTGTCTCTGCCTTTGTCGGAATGGTATCATGCTGGGCCTTTGCATCTACCAACTTCGGCCTTGATTCTGTCTGTGTCTGCGTAACTTCACAGTCCGGTTTTAGGTCAGCCTGAAGCTTTTTGCCAATCAGCTGTGTTGATAACGTCTGAATGTCGACATTTTGATAATCTTTTTGAGGTTGAATTGCCTCGCAACTTGAGTTTACATGCTCGACATGCAAAGTCTGACTCGTAGCGGAAGAGGTGATGATTGTAGGTGGAGCCAATTGTACTGCTTCCTTTTCATAAATCACTATCGGTTCAGGTTCAAGCAAAAGACTGCATGTCGCGTCCACTTCTTTTGTGGTTTTGACACTTTGTTGGCCAATTGATTTTGTTTCAATTAAATGCTCGATTTGTGCCCCGACGTTCTTCTGCACCGTCCCTATCTGTGTTTGACTCTCGACTGTCGACACCCTCAAATCTACTTGAATCTCCTCATTACTATCTCCTGCCTTTCTCACTATTACACAAAACTCCTCTTCTGTATCGACTATCTTCTGAATTGCCTCAGTCTGTGTTTGGGCTGCCTCACACTCTGCTTCCATGCTAACTTGTAATTTTTTTCCTACCAACTCCTTTGAAATAGTCTGAATGTTGGCATTTTGATAGCTTATATGAGTCTTTTCGTCGGCGCAACTTGAATCAACACTGGTTGCATGCAATGTCTGGCATGATGCAACTGCCATTTCCACCTTTTCCTCTGGTAGCACAAGACTGCATCTGCTATCCACCTCCTTTGTGGACTTGACGGCCTCAGATGCAATTGATTTCATTTCAACCCAATGTTCTGCCTGACTTTCCTTACTCTGGATAATGTCCTTCTGAATCTGTTTATCGGTAGTTGATTTTGTTTGTTCAGTCTGGACACCTCTAACATTTGTTTCTAGTATCCTTTGGTCATCTTTCCACATTATTTGCGAGTCTTTTACTTGTTGGGTTGCCTCTGTCTGTATC